CCCCAAAACCCCAAAACCCCAAAACCCCATCTGATTAGAATAATCCATAATAAATTGAACTTTTAGATGTAAAATTATAATGATAATATATAAACTTATAATTTATGCTAGCAGATTGTTAATTGATTACTTATCATTAATTTCCAGCATTTTGACTGTTAAAGCTGTAAGTTTGTGAAGCAAATTTATCGATTTTGTCCTTCACTCGTTAAGCCATTGCATCGAAATCCTTTGGTTTTTCAAATGTCTTTCTGTAATCCTCTTCAGTTAGCATTTTCTTTTACTTTGACATAGAAATGAAATCTTTATGGATTTTGTCAGATTCCTCTCTTGAATACCATTATGCTTTCTTACCATCTTACCACAATCCTTTCTTAGATTGATGATCTGCCTAGAAAAATATCCCATATCCTTCTTGCTTTCCATTTGACCACCATCCATGATACTATTTACCGTCAGTCCAATTATAGATTCCATATCCATGTTTCTTATCATTTTAATACTAGCCATAGTATTGCTTGCCATCTGCGAATGTATAAATTCCAAATCCATTCATAAGATTATCTTTGAACTCACCATGATAATTTCTACCATCAAACCAAGTTTATATCCCCTATTAAAATAATTAAAATTTTGATCTTACACATCCATTAATCATATTTCTATGCCACTATCCAATATAAGTAGAACCATTAGGCCAGACATAGCTTCCAAGTCCTTATTTCTAACTTTTAAAGTAATCACCCTCATATTTAGAGCCATCACCCCACACTTCCTGACCTTTACCATGTTATTAATCATTCAACCATTCTCCTTTGTATTATCCTCCATCCTTGCTTTGATAGACTCCGAAACCTTTGGCTTTGTCTCTAACCCACTAACCCTCATAAACATCACCCGATGAATGTTAAAATCTTCCTTAACCCCAAGCATGATTATCTTTCCACTGTCCTTCATAGATAGCTCCATCTGGCCATGTCATAGTTCCTGAACCGTCTCTGAAATTGCCTTTCCATTCACCCCTGTAAACAGCCCCTGAAGATGCATACAGAAATTATCTTTTCTATCTAGGTTTATCCTTTCTATAAATTTCCTTCGATCCTTTAAGAGTCTCCCAATATTCTTCATATGTAAAATACTTCGATTTTCCAACCTATACATCAAAATTAGAATATTAGCACTAATTTACTTCAATTAATTTGTTCTTAAGTGACCTTTTTGCTAAAAATCTTCTGATAAAATTCTAAACTTGAATCAAAGCTCCAAGATTTTTTATATTCTATGATTCAACTGAAAGCATAGCAAGATTTTTATGAGTTAAGGGAGGTGGTCTCTGCATTGGTTAACTACTTAGGTATTTTAACAAAGTCTCAGGATATTTACGATTTATTATTTGTTCTCTGAGTATATGAATTAGATGAATATTATGTGCTCTGCTATTGATACTCAGAGCCTTGAGTAGATACTCTCAAATGATCCTTTGGGTCTAATGGCTTCAGTTAAGATGGATCGCCATCAGTTTTCTAAACTTAATAAATTATGTTCAATATTACATTGTCATCAAACTCATGTTTGTTTTCATTACTTAAGAATTTATCACAACCTTAACAGTTTCCCATGAAATTTATATTAAATTTTTGAAATTTTAATTATAAAATTATTACTTCTATTCATTATTAACCCTTTGGTGGCTTCTATTAACCAAGATTAAAACTAGCCTACTAAGATGCACCCATACCTGCTCTTTCAAAACCATTGCTTGCTATAGGATTGCCCTCTTATCTTCCTCTACTCTTTGATCTGTCTAAAATATTCTTTACGCTTCTTGCATTGTTTTCCTCTAAATGCTGTTATTTAAGAGCATCTATCTCTTCTACCAATTCTACTTCTTTTCTCATGAGCAATCTATACTTAGCTTTGAGACTATTATACTCATTGATGTCAACGGACTAACCTGAGTTTAGTTAAGCATTAGCTGCTCCACCTTAGCCTGAATTAGCGGCTGACTGGGCCTTCGCTAATTCACCTCTTAATTCTTCAATCGAAGTTGAATAAAACTCAATTTCCATATCTTTCTCAGTTACTTCATGACTAAGAGATATGATCTTTGTCTATAATTCAGATATCTAATCCTCTTTTTGCTTAATTATTTTCTCGAATTCAATCAACTATCTTCTGTATGCATCAAGATCCTCCTCTTTCTTACTAATAGCTCCTTATGCTAATGAATCTGCTCCTTGCAATCTAGACTCATAATCATCAGCTCTTTTCTTTTGATTTAAGACCTCTCTTGTCAGCTCGTCAATCTTCTTTTGTTTTGCGTAAGAATCATCTTTATATGAATTCTCAGCGGTTTTTATCTTTGCCTCCAAAGCTTTATTCATTTCGATAGCTTAGTTAAGTTACTCAGATAGCTTCTTAACGTTTTCTGAAAGTGCACTAATTTGAGTGGACATCTCGCTCTCAACATTCTTTCTATCCTAGCCAATAATATATCTCTCATCTAATTCCTTTCTCAACCTTATATTTTCCTCTTCCATTTGGAATTTCTTTGCTGCCAAAATCTTAATGTCATTATCCATAGTCTTCGAGTCTCTAAGTTCTTCCAGTAGATCCTCAATTTGTTTTTATTAGAGTTCTATTGACTTGTCCCTGGAATAAACTTAGATCTTAATCTCTTCTATGTCATCTAATAATTCAAGTAGTTTCTCATTTTTCTCTTTGAGTTCTATATTAAGCTTTGAAATGATATCCTGCATTCTATTATTTTCTTCCAGTAAGGCTTACTCATCTAGACCAAGATCTTCTCCAGAACCACCTACATCTTTACCATCACCAACAACACTTTGAGCTGCGCTCATATTGTTTATGTCGAATCCTCCTAATGGATTTTTTTCTTCTTTCAAGCCTGATCCAGCAGCTTGATCAATTTTAAACCAAGATGGCTATTTGATGCCATTTTACTTAAGGATTTCTAATAGTTTGAGTGACATATTCTTATACTTATTTATGTCCATCTTCAATTCCTCTCTTGATGCAACTCTGATTCTCTTTGGACCTTTATCTAACTCTTGCTTAATTGCCTAGTCGCATTTATCCTCCTAATTTACTAGCTTTCTTAAGGCATTGATTGCCATCTCACAATACTATATATCTCTATTTAATGCTTCAATTTTTTGTGCTCTGATATTGTCTTTTTTCTCGAATTTTTCCTTTTAAACTTCTTTCTTCAGAATCTAAATCGATTTTAAAAGAGTTTTAATTTTTTAAGCATGCATTTCCTCAAGTGCTTTGATTTTATTCTCTGCTAAGCTATCTCCTTTTTTGAATTCCCCATTCTACTTTGCCAATATTTTTACTTGCTCATCAAGTTCAGCATTTTTACGCTTCAGCATGATAATCATATCATCCTTCTGATCTTTTATCATTTTTAAATTTATTGTAAAATCAAACTTTAAATTAAGGAAGTTTGCTAGAGAATTTAAACAAATAGTATTAGTGGGTTTAGTTAGAATTTTAAATTTAAATATTTTTACGAAAAATAACTTTTATATAATGCTGTGAGGTCTAACTCCATGAGTTAAATTATCTCTCATACAATCATAATTTAATATGGTCATAACTTCATATCTATGAAAAAGAGTCTTAGCGTATACTAGATTTTTTCTAAGCTGCTGGTGGGTTTTGTAAATTTCCCTTTCTAGCACTGTCCTTGAAGTCTTATTACTATGAACTGTTTGAGGATTGATTCTCCTCTTTTTTGATATTCATATTTGAGTTGTTATTTGAGACCTCGTTTGTTGTACTCGAATTTACACTTGGGCCTTAAGGTATATGCTCCTCAATAACGTTAGGATTTTTATTCACGGTCGCTTGAATTTTTTCATCGTGATAATAGCCGTTGAAAAGAGCTTAGACACTATTTCTTCTGAGAAGCAATGAATTCTGTCGCATCTGTTCCTCATTGTTATCTTTCCACTCACTATTGGTATACTTTGCATCAAAGTTATCTTCCTTGGGTGGAATGAAGGGAGATTTCACTTTCTTATTTTGAATATCGTCCCATTTGAAGTCCTTGAACCAAACATGAGTTTTAACCTCTTCAGGCCCATTTAGTCCCAATCTATTGATTGGCTTTCTTTAAATGAGCTTATTAATGAAATCTGCAGCCTCGAGACTCCAGCCTGGAGGAACCTCATTTCTTCTAATTTAAACCTGCTTTGAGAGAATATGATCTCTAATCTCCTTCCTATTCTTGCCTATGTAGGGTCTCTTGCCATACATGCATTCGTAGCCAATTACACCAACAGCAAAATAATCCACAGCAACTCCATGATTTTATCTGCACATTACTTCTGGGGCTAAATAAAATTTATTAAAAAAATAATGTAGTTACCCATATATCCTGGAGTCCCAGAGGTATCTTTGGCGTTGTCAGGGTTCCATACCCTAGCAATACCCAAATCGGTAATTCTCATATAGCCTAACACCCGATTATCAGTATATTTAAATTACCATCATCATCAAAGACTAAATTTTCAGGTTTTATATCCCTATGAAGTATGCTTTTTCCATGTAAATATTCTAAACATAGAAGCATGCAAGCCATAAAGAATTCTAAATAAATTTTAATTTTACTGATGGAATGATTTGAAGAAAGTCAGAAATAAATAGTTTTAAACCATTAAACTTACTCGTTTATTCCTCCGTGAATTTTCTATGTTTAGCGAAATGATATCTTAGATCACCACCTGGCATAAGATCAATTACTAAATATAGATTCTCTCTGTCTTAAAAAGCAAAATGCATGTTGACCAAAAACCTATAATAGAATTTAACACTCTGATTCTCATATTTTAGCTTGTTTATCAGCAGCTTTTGTATAAAAGCAACTAACGAGAAATAGATCATAAATATTTCATCTAATTTATGTTCTATCATTTTATTTTTGAAACGATTAGATTCAAAGACTTGCAATATTGATACTTACTGGTGTCTTAACTATGATAGAAACTTCTTCTCATTCATAACAGAATTCACACTGCGCTTGGAAATTACACGTCCTTTGTGCATCTCCTTCATTGCAAATAGCTTCTTTTCTTTCTTCTTTTCTACTTTCCAAACTTTACCGAATCCTCCTCTTCCAATAACGTATTGAAACATGAAATGATTCTTTGTAACCTCTATATATAATAAGGTTTCGGTATTGGAATATTTTATTTCATACAAGCCACGTTATCGTTTTCGTATTCTGCTTTAAAATTGCAATTTCCCATGATTGTTGATAAACGAATTTAATTGAGATAAGCCTCCCTTTTTGAATAATTAATAATAATTTATCAAGAAAATACTAAAGATGCATATATCTCTCAACTACCAGCGTTAGGGGTTTTGGGGTTTTGGGGTTTTGATTTTGGCATAAAAGCTCTTGA